GCCTCGGAGCGCTGTCGGTTTTCTCTAACCCGCACGCGTTCTCCTGCCTCTTCCTCTTTCTCAGTCTCCCCAGCTACACCCTCCCCACCTCCAGGTCTCCTCTTAGCGAGAATGTTCTCCGGAAAGCCTGCCCACTGGCCGGGCACGCAGCCTCGGTGCTGGTAGCCCCCGGTGTCTCTCAGTCATAACTGGGGTCTCCCGGTTCTACTGCGCGCTCTCTTTAGGGCGCGCTGCCGTGTGGCCAGTGCCCAGCCCCCGCTTGACCCCATCGGTGATTACAGGGAGGAAAAATGAAGGGAGGAGTGCCCACCCCCAGGTTTCTTCCCCTTCCTCAGCGCGGATTGAGGAACTCAGCGTCCCAGAATGGGGCGGCGGGGCCCCCAGCTGGTGTGCGCCGCCGTTCTTTCTGGCTGCTTTTGGCCACTTTTCCTGAAGCCCAGCGGCAGGGCTCCGGAGAGACCAGAGCTCAGCCCGAGTACCCCTTCCGGTAGCACCACCCACGTCGAGCTTCCTCTGTTGCCTGCAGGAAGCAGAATTCCAGGAGGACGTGAAGGAGTACCTGGGGCGGTTGCTGTTCGTGAAAGTGCTCAAAAAGAGCATCCTGCGGGATGACGCGTGGTTCTGCAACTGGATCTCCGTGCAGGGCCCCGGGGCCAATGGGGAGGAGCTCAGGTTCCCATGCTACCGATGGGTGGAGGGCTCTGGCGTTTTGAGCCTGCCGGAGGGCACTGGTAAGCTTGAGGGTGTGTGAGAAGAGGTCGGGGCGAGGGCGGACTGGGGGACTGAGAAGGCACCCTGGAAGGGACAGGGGAGAGGCAAAGCATCATTACCCATGTGCTCACTCCATTTCTAGGCTGCACAGTGGTAGAGGACTCTGAAGGTGTGTTCAGGAAACATAGGGAGCAGGAGCTGCAGGAGAGAAGGAAGCTCTACGGGTTTGCTCTACTCCTTTGCCCCTGAGCCCTGACCCCACAGCCAGTCGAGTGGTCGGACCCTTCCCTAGTCCAGTACCTCATTTCACTTCTACACCACAGGTGGGGTAATTGGAAGGATGGGCTAATCCTGAATATGAATGGGGCCACAAAAGAAGACCTTCCAGTAGATGAAAGATTTCTGGAGGACAAGAGAATCGACTTTGAGGCTTCCCTGGCCAAGGGGTGAGAACAAGAGGGCTGGGTGTGAGGAGGTTCCTGGGTTGATGGAAGCCAAGGGTTGATGGAAGCTCAAGGTGGCTTGCTGCCTGGTTCTAACATTTCACTCTGAGAATAAGTTGATTTGATCTCCTTTCCTGTAGGCTGGCAGACCTAGCTCTCAAAGACTCTTTAAATGTTCTGACTCGTTGGGATGACCTGGATGACTTTAACAGGATTTTCTGGTGTGGCCAGAGCAAGTTGGCTGGTCAGTACACCGAATACTTTTTCCCAGACTCTTCCCCACAAGGTCCCAGGGGCCACAGGCCTAGGTTCCTGTGATAGGCTAGAGCCAAGTGGAGATGGCTTGGTAGGGTTAGTAAAAATTGGGAGCTCAGATCTCATAACATGCTCTACAAATGCCATCCTCAGTACGGGTTCGTGATTCCTGGAAGGATGACGCCTTTTTTGGGTACCAGTTTCTCAATGGTGCCAACCCCATGTTGCTGAGACGTTCCAGTCAGCTTCCTGCCCGCCTGGTGTTCCCTCCAGGCATGGAGGAGCTGCAGGCCCAGCTGGAGAAGGAACTCCAGGTATGGACATAGAGCCTTGGGAGGGCCATTCAGTGAATGGAGATGGGGTTGAGGTTTGTGCTTCTGTGGTACCACTGTGACCCAGCTTGCTGAAGACAGCAAGAAGGGATTCCATAGGAGCGACCTTGAGTGATCATTGGGCAGGTCCCTGACATTCCTCCCTACATGTTTACACTGCATTGTGGAGGAAGAGTGTGAAGTGGCTCATAGAAGCAGAGTCAAAAGGAAGAAATAGTACCGGGCGTTGGTAGGACTCTCCGGAGGGTGTGGGGTAAGAGAATCAGTCCCAGGGGTAGGGTTGTTCATTAGGACTTCAACATGGATCAGTTGGGAGAGGAAACTCAAGAGATTAAAGGGTGAAGCAAACTGGGGTCTGGATCCTGGCTTTGCTGTTTATAAACTACATTCTTGAGGCAAGATACCCAACCTGTCCAGTCACATAAAACATTAAAACTGGGACTAATTCAAGGAATATACAAATGATAACACAGTATACTACCTGCTACAGTGTAGGTGAGTTTCCTTCTCATTCTCCTTTCTGTGCAGCATCAGGGTGAGCACAAGTACCTTATGCTGATAGTGGCCCCCTCTACCACATGCAGGCAGGCACGCTGTTTGAAGCTGATTTTGCCCTGCTGGATGGGATCAAGGCCAATGTCATCCTGTCTTGTCAGCAGCACCTGGCTGCCCCTCTGGTCATGCTGAAACTGCAGCCTGATGGGAAACTCTTGCCCATGGTCATCCAGGTGAGAGGACCCAGGGATTCTCTTCCCCAGTGGGTGGCCCCTCCGTTCAGTAAGCTGTGTTTGTTTGTATTTATTTACCTAGATGCTGATATCAGATGGGGGGCATATGCCTGGCCCCGAGACCTGCCCCTTAAACCCCTGGACCCTCCCTCCATGCCCTTGTGATTCTACCCAGGCACTGCTCCTGCAGGGCCCCCCTCTGTAGACTTTCCCCCTATTTTGCCTGGGCCATCCCTTTTTCCCCTACTGGTGATTCAGGGCCTGGGGACAGAACTGCCTCCTCTGCTGAGACCTCCCTGCCACCGCTAGGGCAGGGGACATATCTTTGTTCTACTAATGGACCACCCACAAGAATTGTGAAAAATCTGGAACCCCTACACATGTTTTCACTGATATCTAAACTATTTTTAATTTAAATCCAAAGATAGGGTTGCTAAGGAAGGCTGCAGTTCCTAGCATGTTGTAAATATTGATATATTTTTCGCATTGCTTAAGTTTGATAAGAGCTGCTGTGATTTGCAGCCAAGAGTGCTGTAACTCGTTGAAAAGGAAAACTTCCCTTATTTAACAGATGGAAAAGTAGGAACTAGGGGTAATGCAAGGCAGTTTGGCAGATAGGAGTCAACTTGGCTGGTTGAACAGCCAGCTCACTGAGCACCCGTTCTGTGCAAAGGTACAGGGTGGGGGGCATCACAGAAAGAAGGGGGTGTGGAAAATCTCCAGGAGTAAGAAGCCCCCAGGGTGGAGATGATCAGGGAGGGGTCTTGGGGGTAGGTTGGGCATGGGCCTTAGAGGAGGGTAAAGACTTAGATGTAGATCTTCAGGCAGGAAGGAGGGGCAGGTCTTCTCCACTGGGCGCAAGACAGGCTGGGCTGAGTGGCCAAGGAGTGACTAAGCATGCAGGAACCAGAAGATTAGTGGACAGTGAGATGGCGTTGGGGAGTGAGGTGAGGGCCAGACTGGTGGGTCACGGACATCAAGCTAAGTCCTGTGAACATGGAAGCGGAGGGGGCTGTTGTGAAAGATGCTGTAATCATGTTGCTTGGGCAACTGTGTTTAGGATGGTTGGAGGAGGAAGGAGATGCAGAGATTAGGGCGACCTGTTAGAGCAGCTGTCCAGGGTGGAGGTGATGGGGGGGGCAGGAAAGGTGGGTGGGACTGTAGAGGAAAATGAACCAGGTCTGGGTTTAAGGAGAGCGGCAAGACCCGTCACGCAGGCACTTGCAGAAATGGGACAAATAAAGAGGAAAAGAAGTTCAGCTAAGTTTTGGTCTGACCCGTTTCGAGGTGATGCGAGATGGCCCACATGCAGGGCTGGCTGGTGGTGTCTCAGGGCAGTGAGAACTGCGCACTTAGGTGTGCACTTAAAAGAAAGGAGAGGCTGAGATTTCTGAAGAGGAGTGTGGGTTTGAATCTTGTCCACACCGAGCAGACTTGCAGGGAAGTGGAGGAGCAGTTTCTGCAGAAGGTGGAGGGCAGAGCAACTTACATGTGTCAAGGGACTGAGTAGGGAGAAGGAGGGGAGGAAGGCAGATGTAGAGAAGTCACCTCAGCCGGGTGGAGAGAGCTGAGAGAGTCTGGAGGGAGAGGGGAGAGGTTAAACATGTCCCTGGTGCACAGAAGCCTGGCGTTTATTCCTTCTCTTCCCTGAACTCTTGTTCTGTTCCAGCTCCAACTGCCACGTATAGGGTCCTACCCTCCACTGCTCTTCCTGCCCACCGACCCCCCGATGGTCTGGCTCCTGGCCAAATGCTGGGTCCGTAGCTCTGACTTCCAGCTTCACGAGCTGCAGTCTCATCTTCTGAGGGGACACCTGATGGCCGAGGTCTTTGCTGTGGCCACAATGAGATGCCTTCCATCCTTACACCCTGTCTTCAAGGTAACTCCTTATTCTCTTCTCTCCTGCCTGCCCCAGGGCACACCCCTACATCTGGAAGCAGCCTCTCTGTGGCCTCTCAGGATGTGGGGAGAGCCAACCAATGACAACAAATGAGTGAGGGAGTGGAATATGGCTTGCTACATATTGGGGTGATATTATTCCCAAGGATGTGAAAACAGCTCAGCGATGTGACTGTGGGAGAGCCTTCCCTTTTTTTTTTCATGTAAAAAGCTCAGATATACATACAGTTTGTAAACAACACACAAACATGACTGAGGATTCCATCCAACGTGGGGAGGGAGGCCATGACATGAAAGTCTGCCTCTCTCATGGGTCAGTTAGAGGGACTTAGGTCGACAATTGTGGCTTGGTTGATAACAGGTAATTAGATCACAGTATTTACTTAGTAACTATTTTTCTTGAGAGTCTGCTATGGGGCAGGAACCATTCTGGATGCCAGTGCTCAGCAAGACAGGCAAGATCCTGCTCTTTGGGGAATTCTGTTTCTATTAAGGGCTATCAGACCACCGAGATGTGTGGCCACATCAGCTCTGACCACGCAGCACACCTGATCAACACAAGTGAAGTGGTGATGAGCTTGGACTGGTGGTCAGGAAAGACTCCCTTGAAGAGGTGATATAGGGAGTGAGATGCCAGAACCAGCCTCGGGCCATGTTGTCCTAAGCAGAGGGAACAGCTAGTGTGAAGTCCTGGGGCGGGAAGAAGCTCGGCATGTTTGAAGAACATGAAGAAGGTGGGTGGAATGGACGAAGGGTAGGAGAGGTGAGTCCATGCATTCCCAGTGGGGGAGATTATGTCCTAAAGGGGGGGCATCTGGTGGGGGAGGGCAAAAAGCCATGTTGGTTATAATACATAGATACAGACTGTATAAAACAGATATGAAGTCTAACTGTGGCATTCACATTTCTGGGAGGGAGGTGAGAATAGGAAAATGTATCTGAACGGTCTCCTTAGGAGAGTGATAATGAAAAAAACCAGAGCGACATCGCATTAGACCTTAAATAAGTCTCTCAGTTATCCTGGAACAATAAGGCAGTAGTTCGCTGAACGAATTACAAATCCACTGAGCGCCCTGGTGTTGCGGGGTCCCTAACTTCATGCCTATTCTTGTCCTGAAGACCTGGCTCCACTTTTGCTCTCCAGCCTCATCTCCTGCGGGAACCTGCCACAGGTGTCTGCTGACTCTGCCCTTCTCTGCTCTCTTCCCTCCAGCTTATAATTCCCCATCTGCGATACACCATGGAAATTAATGCGCGGGCCAGGAATGGGCTCGTCTCTGACATGGGAGTTTTTGACCAGGTAGGAGGAGAGAAAATTCTGGCGACTGTTCTCCTTCCAGTGCTAGCCGTGGGGCAGGTGGACAAGCCTGACCTTGCCTGTCCTGGCCCCTTAGGTGGTGAGCACTGGTGGGGGAGGCCACGTGGAGCTACTCCAGCGGGCTGCGGCCTTTCTAACCTACAAATCATTCTGCCCCCCTGACGACCTGTCTGACCGGGGGCTCCTGGGAGTCAAGTCTTGCTACTATGCCCAAGATGCCCTGCGACTCTGGGAAATCATCTTGGGGTGAGGCAAGGGGAAAGGCAGGGTGCGGAGGAGCGGGCTGCGTGGGCAAGAGGGCTGTGTGCCTGCAGGGAGGCTGGGGCAGAGACGGGGGCGGGGGCTCCCTCTCAGTATCAGCTCCTGCTCTGACCCTTTGGCTGGCAGCTACGTGAAGGGAATCCTGACTCTCTACTATAAGACGGATGAGGCGGTGAAAAAGGATCTTGAGCTGCAGAACTGGTGTCGAGAGATCACTGAAATTGGGTTGCGAGGGGCCCAGGACCGAGGTAAGTCGAGCCTCTCTGCCCTAAGACCACCCAATGCAAGAGTTTCCTCCTTGAAAAACGCCCAGAATCCCCTATGGAAACTTTCAGAAGCATTTCCAACCCCTGTGAAAATGCTCAAAGTTTATCCTAGATTGCATTTTTTTTCTAGTTGGAGACAGACCCTTATCCTATGTACGGAAAATCCACCCCAGCCCCAGATATAGTGAGACCAATGTTTGCCTATATATGCTTAACAACCAACTCTGGAAAAAAAACAAAAACAAAAACTCTGATTTGTAGCATTTGCCTTTTTCCATGTTATATTCCCACCATGGCTACCAGTGGTGGCCAGTGACTTCAATAGGTTTGCTAAATGTCTGAAACGTTAGCACACAGTTGCGCTTGTGAGTCTGTCATGAGCCAGTGCCCCGAGCGGCCTCTGGGCAGAGCTCCCCTCTTCCTCTCTCCACGGCCACAGCCGGTACCGTGGCTGAGCGTCTGTGGCCTGCCCCTCCACCCGGATCTTTCCCTCTCATCTCTCTGTGCTCTGCGTCTGTTCCTGAACTCACAGCTCTGAACCGTCATTCCTCATTGCAGGGTTCCCCGCCTGCCTTCAGTCCCAGCAGGAGCTCTGCCACTTTGTCACCATGTGCATCTTTACCTGCACTGGCCAGCACTCCTCCATCCACCTGGGCCAGGTACTTGCCATGGTGGGCACAGCTGGGCACTTGCATTTAGAGTTGGGGGCAGTGCGCGGGGGCACATCACACTCAGCAGGTGCTGACCCCGGCTGTCTGCCCCCCTCAGCTGGACTGGTTCACCTGGGTCCCTAATGCACCCTGCACCATGCGGATGCCTCCACCAACCACCAAGGATGTGACGCTGGAGACAGTGATGGCAACACTGCCCAACTTTCATCAGGCTTCTCTCCAGATGTCCATCACTTGGCAACTGGGCAGGCGCCAGCCCATCATGGTGAGAACCAGGTGCCTGAGTCCCTGGGGAAGGGGGCAGAGGCGGGAGCTGCAGCACTCCACACGGAGCGTTAGAAGGCTCTCAGCTGTCATTTTCTCTCCATCCAGGTGGCTCTGGGCCAGCATGAGGAGGAGTATTTTTCGTGTCCTAAGACCAAAGCTGTGCTGCTCAAGTTCAGGGAGGAGCTGGCCACCATGGATAAAGAAATTGAGGCCAGGAATGCAAAGCTGGACATACCCTACGAGTATCTGCGTCCTAGCCTGGTGGAAAACAGTGTGGCCATATGAATGCTCCAGCCTGGACGGTCTCTGCTGGCTCCCAACCATGTTGTGACCCCCCGCACCCCCATAGTGCCTTCAGACTCCCCCACCTTCACAAAAGCCCAGTCTTTCCTATTCTCTGCCCTAAAAAGAGTTATCTTTCCATTATCTAGGCCCACAGTGAACAAATTTTATTCTACGCTTCCTTCCCAGGGGCCTTGCTCCTCTTCTTCCTTCCTCTTTTCCTTTCCTATATTCCTTCCTTATCATTCACCTCTGCCTCTAATATAAACTGCCCCAAGAGTACAATAAGGGGGCCCTCCCTGATGGTGTAAGGGGTTAAGTCTCACACTATAAAGTTATCAGCAGCCACTGCAGCATGAGTTCGATCCCCAACCAGGGAGCTGACCCACATGGCACAGCAGACCTCTCCTGTCTCACCCGCTGCTCCCCTCAGCAGTGTATTTCAGTCAGTCAGCCTGTTCTGCTCCCCGCTCTGTCTCTGGTGAATCCTCTCACCCCCCACACCTCTGGCCTACACCCCAGCTCTTGTATGCATAAGTAAATAAATTTAAAAAAAAAGTAGAATAAGGTAATCATACATATTACATAATCAAGCTTAACAGCAAAAAATATTTTAGACAATGAACTTAGATCAAACTAACCTAAATAAAATGTTGGCCAAAAAAATTCAGCACTTCTTTTTAATGTGTCTGCAACCAAAGATAACACAAAGGATTAACAGGATAATTCTCAAGATCTCTTGATTCTCAAGATTTTCATTTCATGGCTCATGAAAAGTGATAAATGGGATTAAACTGATGAAACTAAAGAAGCTGCTCCCAGCTGGAGGTGTTTGGTCTCAGGGTTTTACCTGAGGAATCCACAACTGTAACCCATTTGTGATAGGGAAGCTCCAAATTACAATAATGAACTGAAAAAATACCACACACACACACACATGCAACTCTCCTTATTTTAACTATTGACAACAAAAGAACTAGAAAAAAAATCAGTTTATGTATCTGGTTAAAATTTTGGAAAAGAAACTTAAAAGATTTATTTTATTTTTCAAATATGATTATCTGTGTATGTTTAAAACAGAAATAAACACTACAATAAGGCAAAATTGTTTCCCTTATAATATGAACAAAGTTGCTTCTTGCCCCATTCCCTTTAATTTGGGAGAAGTGCTTGATCTGATTCTTGAAGGAAGAGTAAGAAGCATTTGGCAGAGTTTACTGCTGGAATCTAGAAGACCCCACAGAAGGTGAAGGAGAGCCTGGCGGACTGGCCACACCAGAAATAATGCAGGCACGCATGTAGCCAGTGGTGCAGTGGGGTTGGAGTGAAAAAACGAGAGGGGAAGTGGTGAAAAGAGGCATTTCACAAAGAACATGCTTCATGCCAGGAACAGTCATTAAGAGATTTTAAATATGGGTATGACAGGTCCTAGAATTCAAGCACTCACACAGAGGTATGGGCTTCTCCTGGGAGGACACACCTCTTCTGCTTGGGGGCCACACTCCTCCTGGCTTGGGGGACCCCTTCATTATTTTTGCTTCCTTGCTGGAGACTTTTGTTCTGGCAGCTTTTCTCCTTGCTCAGCTCCTCGGGAGGCCATTATTGAGCAATGGGCTTGCATCAAGTTGAAACTGGGAAAAAGAAGGCAGTTTTAGCGTCCTCCCTGTCAGCAGAGGGGTTAAACTCTCAGTGCTATCAAGCTACTGCCAGCCACTTCAGCATCTGCTGTGGCATAAATTAAATCCCCGCCCCCGCCCCCTGCCAGGGAGCTGACCCACACGGTGCAGCAGACCTCTTCTGTCCCACCTGCTTGCTGCTCCCCTCAGCAGTGTATTTTGGTCAGTTGGCCTGTTCTGGTCCCTGCTCTGACTCTGGTGAATTCTCTCACCCCCCACACCCCAGTTCTTGTATGCATAAGTAAATAAAAAAATAAATCTTTTTTTTTTTTTAAAGAAAGAAAGCAGCTTTATTGCAAGTCAGTTGGTAGTGAGGCAGAAGGTAAACTCAAATCTGCTCCCCAGAGTAAGAAAGAGATATAAAGGCTTTGGGAACTGGGTTGAGGACAAAGGGGTAAAATTTTATTTGCTAGCAGGTTAAGGGCAAGAAATGTGGACGTGACTGACGTTCATTGGCTAGTTCCAGGGAAGTTCATGCATGGAGAAGCGTGAAAATGCTTCTGTCCTCCTCTCCCTTTCTGTCCATCGCCCTCCTCCCCAGCAGTTATCGCTCCAGCTGGTCAGAGAACTCAGCCTAAGGCTAGTTGCTTCTGCTTGCTCAGGCTGGGCTATTTGCTGATAAAACTCTAGGCTCTGCTGTGTCTGCAAAAGCAATTCTGGAAAAAAGTTCAGCTAAGTTTTCTATTTTCTGTAGTCTGGAGTCTGAAAGCAATTTAACCACAGTCACAGGCCCAGCTTTCTGAACCCCATTCTGTGGGTCATTGCCCGGACCAGACTTGCCTTGGCCCTTAAAGAACAAGATTAGTTTAACCATGTGGAAGTTTGGGTGGGGGCGTTCCTGGCAAGTAGCCAAGGGCAGGTGAAGGCGCAAGTGGGCGTGAGTTTAGCTGGAAAGGATATCGGTAAGTACAGTGCAGTCTGAGTTAGACTGAAGCTTTTCTATATGGAATAGCCAGGGGGACACAGAGCTCTGGCCTTGCCATGGCACAAAGGGGCACATGCCCTGGGGAGCCTTATGGGAAAAGTGTCCGAACAGCTTTTTATGGCCCGAAATGGGCCTGGGAGGGAGAAGCAGTAAAAGAGAAGATCACCTCTTGTCAACATAGGGAACCTCTGTCCTCTAGGTGTAGAGAGAACAACTTTTGACTCTGGGTGGTACTTTCTACTCTGAATGTACATAGACACTTCCCCATTCCTTTCCCTGAAAGGAGAGATTTAATAGACTCCGCAGTTGTATTATTTTTCACTTCACTTGAACATGAGACACCTTTTCCCCTTGAGTCAAAGCCATATGAATTGAAGCAAGGAAGTTCTAAGAGAATTAAAAGGCCCTCACACAGGAGATGTCAGAATTTCTGATGACAAAACAACCAAAGAAGTATTTTTGCCAAAATTATCATATGTTTCACTTTACTTGAAGTTGAGACATTTTTCCTCTTGATTCAAAAGCCGTATGAATTGGAAGCATGGAAATTCTAAGAGAATTCAAAGGCCCTAGCAGAGGAGATGGTTGTTTCGGATGACAAAACAACCAAAGAAGTATTTTTTAAAAATATTTATTTATTTATGCATACAGAACTGGGGTAGAGGCCAGAGGTGTGGGGGGCGGTAAGAGAATTCACAAGAGACAGAGTGGGAAGCAGAACAGGCAGGCTGATGAAGCACACTGCTGAGGGGAGCAGCAGGTAGGTCAGGAGAGACCTCTCCTGTCCCCTCTGGGGCTGGGGATCGAACAGGTGCTAAAGCAGCATCTGACAGCTTGGCAGTGCTGTGCTTTAATCTATTGCGCCACCAAGGAAGGCCCCCAAGGATGTATTTTTGCTGAAGTAATCAAATCCTCAAAGGATGGTTTTCTGTATATCCCATGGATAACAAAGGAAAATAATTTCCTTCAGAAAGCATGTCTGAGTCAGAGGTATTACAAAATGAGGTGATCTTCAAATTAGTTTCTGGGCCTCCTTGGTGGAGCAGTAGTTAAAGTCTCAGCATCATCAAACTATCTGCAGCCACTGCAGCATGAATTTCATCCCCACATGGCGCAGCAGACCTCTCCTGTCTCCCCTCAGCAGTGTGTTTCAGTCAGTCTGCCTGTTCTGTTCTCTACTCTGTCTCTGGTGAATCATCTCACTCCCTGCACCTCTGGTTTATACTCCAATTCTTCTATGCATAAATAAATAAAATAAGTATTTAAAAAGTTAAGTTTCTGTTTTGCTTGATTATAAGAAGTTAGTAAGTGCTTAAAAAAACTAAGATAAGAAATTTCAAAGATGAGCTGGCGTGGGAATAATGTAGCAATAAAACCAAAGCTGATAATGCTTCAGATATAATAATTTTTTAAAGATTTATTTATTTATGCATACAAGAACTGGGGTACAGGCCAGAGGTGCAGGGCAGGAAGGGGTGTGAGAGGATTCACCAGAGACAGAGTGGGGACCAGACAGGAAGATGGGGTGAAATACACTGCTGAAGGGTGCAAAAGGCAGACAGGAGGGGTTGGCGGCACCATGTGGGTCAGCTCCCTGACCAGGTATTGAACTTGTGCTGCAGTGGCTGCTGATAGCTTGATAGTGCTGCGCTTTAATCCCTTCCACCACCAGGGTGGTGATATGATAATTTTAAAGAGAGATTCTTTTTAAGTTGGAAGAAAGTAAATGTTGGAAAAAAGACATCTTTAAGCCAAGTAATTTATTATACTTATCACCTTCTACAAATATATTATTTATTAAATGAAATAAAATGTTTATTGAGGGCCCTCCCTGGTGGCGCAGCGGGTTAAAGCGCAGCACTGAGAAGCTAAAGCCACTTCCGCATGAGTTCAATCCCCGCCTGCCCCGGAGGTGACCACATGGCGCGGCAGACCTCTCCTGACCCGCCCGCTACTCCCCTCAGCAGTGTACTTAGTCGATCTGCCTGTTCTGCTCCCTGCTCTGTCTCTGGTGAATCCTCTCACCCTCGGCATCTCTGGCCTGTACCCCAGTTCTGTACAAATAAATAAATAAATCTTTAAAAAAAAATGTTTATTGAATGAGCTTCAAAAAAAGTCTTATTATATTTTTCATGTTGTAAAATGATGTTTTCCCCCTCCCTTCCTCTCTTATTTTTTGCAAAAGGATATTTGTGTGTGTGTGTTGATGCTTTAATGATTTTTTAAAATAATAGTTTATTTTTACATCATTTTGTACATTTTTTTTCATCTCAATTGTAATCCCCGTGGGTTTCCCATCACCGAGTCACCCATGTGCCATCACCATAGTCCCGTGCTCTTAAACCTCCCCCCCCCCGGTTTTTGATCCCATTCCCCAATCTACCCCCACAAAATGTCTCTGGTATATGGTTGTTCATTATTCTTGTTATTTTCTCGCCTGGTCCATTATACTCCTGCTATGAGTGAAACCATCCGGTATTTTTCTTTCTCTTTCTGGCTTATCTCGCTAAGCATGATCTTTTCCAGCTCCATCCAAGTTGCTGCAAAAGACATGTGTTTCTCTTTTTTGGTTGCTAAGTAATATTCCATTGTATATATGTACCACATCTTTTTAATCCAGTCATCTACTTTTGGGCATTTGGGCTGCTTCCATGTTTTTCCAATTGTAAATAAAGCAGCAATAAACATGGGGG